ATGCCATCATAGAATATATCTGTGCCGTTAGAATGCAGTCAAGTTTGTTTTTCCTTCATTTTAATTTTCTCACTAATTTCCACAAGCATAGTCTAGAAGCTGTGCTCGGGACTCAGCCAGCTTGGGCAGTAGTGATGGTACCGAGTTACATTTTTGAGGATGCTGACGTCCTCAACCCAAAACCCATTCTGTCCCTTTGCTGTCTTCTGCATTTTGTGCAAGTACTGTTTAACTTGGCAAGTGCAGATACGTCACCCCAGAGAAGACTGTAAATAGTAGTAAAACAGGAAGTTCCGTCACTAATTTTCAACCTGCTACCATGTGATATCACGGGATCTGGAATCAATGCTGACAGGCTTCAAGCCATCTTGTGCGAGCTGTACATCACTGCATGTCACTTCCAAAATACAAAATATCTTTTATGCTTATGTATTTTTGATTGTGAATTGTTACTGAAACTATACTGTTTTAAAATCAAAGATTGTGGAAGGAATCGCTGCAATTTTAAAAGCAAGTTACTGAAACTGGAAGCTGTGCTTACACTGCTGCTTTGTTCAAGAAGCAGGGCTGGATGTCTGTAAATGGGGTGGAACCAGAGGGTGGACACAAAGTGTGATTCAGTCAGCAACAGTATATTGATTGGTCTGCAGCATTGTGACCATTGTAAATGACAAAGGGCATCAGCCTGACAAGAATTCTCTGCTTGGAAGCTCAAGATTTTGTGGACATAAATGAGACTGGCAGAAACCCTTGGACTGCTGCAAGGGCAGATTGTATGTCTTGCTCTCCAGTAAAATATCCAAAGACTGGTGAAAGCCAGTTTATTTTCCCTCATCTGTTGCTGTAAGCTGTGGTTTTGAACCAAGCAACTAATTCTTTCCAGTTAATGTACCAATTGCCTGTGCCTCCTGTCTTAAATGCAATCAATGAATTGTCTTCCACAGTCCTCTGCAGCAATCATTTCCATATATTCACTACCCTCTGGTAGAAGGCATTCCTTATCTTGGTTCTAAAGAATTGTCCGCTCACTCTGTGGCTGTGTCCTCAGGTCGTAGTTTCTCCTAGCAGTGGAAACATTTTCTCCATGGCCACTCTATCCTAGCTCCTGTAAGTTTACTAATTAAGTTTAAATACGTTTCTGTAGTTCTGTAAGTTTCAATCAGATTGACTCTCATCTTTCTAAACTGCAATTGTACAGATCCAGATTCCTCAACCACTCTTCATGTAAGTCCTTTGTTCCCTGGGATCATTCTGGGAAATCTCCTCTGGACCCCCTTCAAGGCCAGCACATCCTTCCTTAGATATGGAGGCCAAAACTGCTCACAGTATTCCAAATGTGGCCTGACCAAGTACAGCCACAGTAATTCCTTTCTGCTCTTGCAGTCTAGCTTTCTTGAAATCAATGCTAACATTGCATTTGCCATCCTAATTTTCAACTTAACTTGCATGTTAACCTTAAGAGAGTCCTGAAATAGAACTTCCAAGTCCCTTTGTGTTTCAAATTTCCAAACCCATTCCCCATTTAGAAAACAGTATAGAGAGTCATAGAGCTGTACAGCATGGAAACAGACCCTTTGGTCCAACTCGTCCATACCTATCAGGCAGTCTAAATTAATCTAGACCCATTTGCTAGCATTTGGCCCTTATCTCTCAACCCTTCCTATTCATGTACCCATCCAGATGGCTTTTAAATGTTGTAATTGCACCAGCCTCCACCACTTCCTCTGGCAGCTCGTTCCATACACTCACCATCCTCTGCCTCTATTCTTCCTACACTTTCCCACATTGTATTCCATCTGCAACTTCTTTGCCCACTCTCCTAGCCTGTCCAAGTCCTTCTGCAGCCTCCACACTTCCTCAATACTATTTGCCCCTCCAATTATCTTTGTGTCATGTGCAAATTTAGCATCAATGCCCTCAGCTCCTTCATCCAGATTGTTAATGGATAACATGAATAGTTGTTGTCCCAACACAGCCCAATGCAGTCACTGACACTCTTCCTGAAAAAAAGATCCTTGATCCCTACTCTCTGCCTTCTGCAGATCCTTGTCAGTTGACAACCTGCTCGGATGCTCCTTGTATTTCACTATGGGGTATGTGTTGATGTATGACTCTGGACTTTCACTATTATTAATATGCAAATTATTGAACAATTCCTTTGATAAGTGCCACCAATAAATTAATGGAAAAATATTTGAACCAATCACATTTTATTGCTTTTTTATGCTTGATGGTTGAAACATTTTCCAAGATGATGTCTTTAGATGAAGACGTGACATTTATATTTGGAAATGGATTAACTAGTAGGAAGCAATCTTAGTAAACCACTCACACTATTAATAATTCTCAGTGGTAAATTTTCTCCAGTTCTACATTAGCACAGTGTATTAGAAGTATGGAGGGCACGGGAAAGAGGACTTGGAACTGGATTAAAAAGTGAATGTTTAACAATCCACCTCAAAACATTGAGCGTGCCTACTGTTGCGATAAAGTACCAAAGTAAGCAAATCCCTGAGCACAGAAGCATTACAATGTTAAATCAGTGCCTTCAAAGAACAGGTGGGAGAAAGGCACAAACACATTGAAAATTGTGCGTGAAAACTGGCAAAATTCAAGAGGCAACACTGTGGAGCTGGAGGAACACAGCATGCCAGGCAGCATCAGAGGAACAGCAAAGTTGACATTTCAGGTCAGGACCCTTCTTCAGAAATGGGGAGGGGGAAGGAAGCTGGGAAATAAATAGATAGGAGGGGTGGGGCTGGGAAAAGTAGGTGGGATGGTGATAGGTGAGTGCAGGTAGGGAGTGGTGGGGATTGGTCAGTGGGATGGGTGGGGCAGATATGTGAGAGAGTAGATGGACAGGCTGTGTCAGGTCAAGGAGGCGGGGTTGAAAATAGGATGAGGCCAGGAGTGGGAGATTTTCAAACTGGTGAATTCCATGTTTGGGCCATCGGGCTGTCTGCTCCTGAGGTGGAATACGAGGTGTTGCTCCTCCAGTTTGCTGGTGGTGTCATTGTGACACTGGAGGAGGCCCAGGATGGACATGTCACCCAGGGAGCAGGAGGGGCGTTAAAATGGTTGGCAACTGGAAGGTGTTATCGTTTGTCACATACAGAGCACAGATGCTCCACGAAATGGTCTCCGAGTCTACGCTTGGTCTCACTGATGTAGAGGCGGCCACGTGGGGAGCAGCAGATACAGCAGACCAAGTTGATGGATGTGCAGGTGAACCCCTATCTGATATGAAAGGTTTGTTGTTGGCCTTGGAGGGGGTGAGGTGAGGTGTAGGGGCAGGTGTAGCACTTCCTGCAGTGGCAGGGAAAGATGCCAGGTGTGGTGGGGTTAGTGAGGAGCTGACGAGGGAGTGGTGGAGAGAGCGATCCCTATGAAATGCAGATAGGGGTAGGGAGGAAAATATCTCTTTGGTTGTGGGGCTGGATTGTAGGTGGCGGAAGTGGTGGAGCATGATACGTTCGATGCGGAGGTTGGTGGGGTGATATGCGAGGACAAGAGGGATTCTGTCTTTGTTTTTGTTGTGGGGGAGGGGAGGGGATGTGAGGGCACAAGTGCAGGAAGTGCCAAGAAATGCAGTTGAGGACATTTTCGATCACCAGAGAGGGGAACGTTATGGTCCCTGAAATAGGAGGACATCGAAAATGTTTGGAAGTGGAAAGCACCATCTTGTGAGCAGACACAGCAGAGGCAGAGGAATTGGGAGTAAGGGATCGCATTCTTGCAGGAGGCTGGCTGAGAGGAGGTGTGGTCCAGGTAGCTGTGGGAGTCGGTGGGCTTGAAACTGACGTCAGTTTTGAGGCGGTCAACAGAGATGGAGATGAAGTGGGAGGAGTTCAGGATGGAGAAGGAGGTATTGGAGATGATCCAGGTGAATTTGAGGTTGGGGTGAAAGGTGTTAGTAAAGTTGATGAACTGTTCAATCTCCTTGTGGGAGCATGAAGCAGTGCTGATACAGTCATTGATGTAGCGGAGGAAGAGGTGCGGAATAGCGCCAGTGTAACAGCGGAAAAAGGACTATTCCATGTATCCCACAAAGAGGCAGGCATAGCATGAGCCCATGCGGGTTCCCATGGCCACCCCTTTAGTCTGTAGGAAGTGGAAGGAGTTAAAGGAGAACTTGTTAAGGGTAAGTACAAGTTCTGTTAAGCGGATGAGGGTGTCGATGGAGAGGGACTGTTGGGCCTGCGGGAGAGTAAGAAGCAGAGTGCTTTTAGGCCATCTGTGTGGAAGATACAAGTGTACAGGGAATGGATGTCCATTGTGAAGGTGAGGTGTTGGGGGCCACGGAATTGGAAGTCTTGGAGGAGGTGGAGGGTGTAGGTTCTGTCCTGGACATAAGTGGGGAATTCCTGGAACAGGGGGAAAGAAAAAGAGTCAAGGTAAGGAGGGATGAGTTCAGTGGAGCAGGATCAAGCACAGACAGGTCAGCCGGGGCAGTCAGATTTGTGCATTTTTGGAAGGAGCTAGAAATGGGTGGTGCAGAGTTGGGGAACGATGAGCTTGGAGGCTGTGAGTGGGAAGTCACCTGAGATGATGAGGTTATGAATGGTCTCAGAGATGGAGGTTTAGTGGTCAGAGGTGGGGTCATGATCGAGGGGGCGGTAGGAGGAGGTGTCAGAAACTTGTTGCCTGGCGTCGGTGATGTAAAGGTCAGTGCGCCATACCACTACTGCATCCCCCCTTATCCATAGGTTTGATGGTGAGGTTCGGATTGGAATGGAGGGGTGCGTGTTCCGTGGGGGTGAGTTTGGAGTGAGTGAGAGAGAGGGGTGAAGATTCAAGAGTGGCTGTTTCACTGCTCGGCAGCATTCACTGGTCAGACCTTATCTGACATGAAACAGTGATAGGTGATTCGGATCTCCAATTACATGATAGGAAGAGCAGCGGTGGGCAGCCTCAGCCCGATGAGGTTGGGTGGGGGTTTCACTTCCTCCACCAGATCTGCAGGCCTTGTACAATCATGAAATAAATCACCGAGCTCTAACCTGACCCGTGCAGGAAAATCACGGACGCAGTAGGCTTCTTAGTCTGAGCGACGATGGTCCTCTGTAAATGGACCGCCATCTTCGTGTCGGCCCCTCCCACCCCGAACGGAGGCCGGAAGGGGGTCAGCTGACCGTCTCCGCGCAGCTTGACGTCGCCGGGAAACCACAGCATCATGACGTCACGATGCACCATGACGTAAAACGCTGACTGTCTGTCGCCGGTGTAGTTATGCGCATGCGCGCCTTTTTACCCTGGCTTGTTTTCTTTTCGCTGGTACCATCATTTTCTTTGTCAGCGACCAAGTTTCTTTCTCTTCATATTGTCCCCATTACCTGACCTTGCAAATCCGGGCTATCACTGCATTACTGAGGGAGTGCTGCACTGTTAGAGAGTCTTTTTGGATGAAGTGTTATACCAAGGCCTATCGACTGTAGATATTTTCTGATCACCCTTTTCAGAGACGTTATTACACACTTCTGGAGCAGGTGGGACTTGAACCGGGGAACTTTTAATCCAGCAGCAGGAACACGACCACTTGCAGTACTCCTGACTGCACTAGGGTTGTCAACTCTCCATGATAGGTCTGGACCCTCCAGGAATTGAGCATAAATCGCCAGAACACTGCTTTGGGCAACCTGGGGAAGGGATATTAAAAAAGATTGAGTTTTCTTGTCGTTTTCGTTTAACATTTCTGTTTACTCGATACAAAAATGTTGAAAAATGACGGGGAAAAGGTCTGTTTTGTTGACATTCAAGCATCGTTCATTTCAGTAATGAGTATTTTGACTTTATAATTAGTGCGGAAGCAGTGTGACTTCAGGATGAAATATTGGCCAACAAGTCTTGGGAATATGGGTCAAGTGGCTATAATTGAGGCCATAATACAGGATAAGATAAATATACACTTTTAAAAAAAAGCTACTACTAGACAGTCAACATGACTTTGTCAAGGGCAGATCGTGTCTGATAAATTTAATTCAGTTCTTTGGCGAGATGACACAGGAAGTGGATGGGCGTACTGCTATGGGTGTTAGTTGGATTTTCAGAAAGCATTTGATACGGTGCCACATGGCAGGTTGGTCAGCAATTTAGAAATATTTGCGACTGATGGAAGCAGAGGGGAGGTATAGGTGGGGATCTCTCAAACTGGAGACGAGTTGAAAGCGATGCTCCACAGGGATCAGTGTTAAGACCCTTGCTTTTTTGATGTACATAAATGATTTGAAAACAGGTGTTCAGGACAAAATCTGAGATCTCAGACAGGCATAAAATATTTCATCATACCACTTTGAAGAAGAACAGAGTGTGATCCCTAATTTGGTTGTAGTCAGTATTTATCCCGCAATCATAACCCTGCAAGCAGATTATCTTGTCAATATCATATCCCTGATTGTGAGAGCTTGCTGCGTGCAAATTTGCTGTCGTACTTAATATATTACAACAGCCCCTCCTGTTGTGTATATATATCAATATCCTGGGATTGTGAAAGGCACTATAAACATGCAAGTACCTTTTATATATAACTCTCCAAGACATCCTCTAATTCTAGTTTCTTATGGAATCATCAGTTGCCAAGGCCCTAGGCACTGGAGTTCTTTTAATACGTCTTTTCCTCTCTACCTTACTTTCCTCCTTTAACCCTACTTCAAATATACTTGGCTAATTTGTCTTAATATCTCCTTATGTGGCTTGGTGTCATATTTCATCTTCTAATGCTCAAGGAAAGTGTGTTGGAACTTTTTTTTTGATTATGTTAAGGGCATTATCAATCTAAGATTGTATAGCTACATGGATTTCACATAGAATTGCCCAAGGGAGTCAGGACAAACTATAGACCCCCAGTTATTGTGATTTCTATGGCGAGTTAAAATTTTTAAAGAAAAATTGAAATTTCCAGTCAATAACTGAGAGAATACCACATCAAAGTTTCATATTTTAAAAATTGATGTTTAAATGACGGAAAATACTGTTGACTAAACATTATATTCTTTTTTTTAGCGGCTTCTACTTTAGAAATAGGAATAACTTTATTGATAACTCACAAACTTGGCCACCATTCTGAGGCTAAACTTCCATCTGCGTTCTGCATGCAGCACAATAGAATCAGTTTTTTCTGTTTCAGGTGGTTCTACCTGTTAGTGCTTATTTATGAGTTGCCTACAGACCACAAAAGGTAAAATTGCAACTACTGCTCATGAAACCTAGATTTAAAGTCTGAAACCTGATTTCAAAGTGGCTTCCTCTTCTTCCTATTCTAGTGCAAAATTAGCTTTATATCCAAGAAAACTTGTTGATTTGTTATCCTCGATCTCAACTTCCTTTCATCTCCGATAAAAAGGGAGACTTTTTAGCACAACTTAGTATCTATAATATGTTTCTCCACTGTAGGAGACTTAGCATTATTAGAAATTGGTGTCATTCTACCCAACCATAAATACCTTGAACCTCCCTCTTAACAAATTAATCTACTATCTTCCTCAGATCTCTGTCAATTAAACACCTAGTCTGTCAAAAAGCCATTCAGGTCACATGACTCCTTGTAATTTAGCCTACATTTATAAATACAGTCCCAAAATACAGTAATTTTATAAACCAAAAGATACAATCCTAAACATGGTACAGGATAATCTTATAATCCTCACAATTGTGACACAAGTGGTGTTGAACCATCAGTGAAAAAACATGTAGCAGCATACAACAGAAGTATTCACATGGATACTCATAGACATGACAAAATCATAATTGAAGCTCTTAAAAAAGCAAAGGATTTGATATAAAACTCGTGAGTTACTGGTTTTTCCCAAACGTAAACAAATATAGATCGATGCTCACTAGTAGCTTTTTTTAAATTCATTCACGGGATGTGGATGTCACTGGCCAGGTCAGCATTTGTTACCCATACCTAATTGCCCAGAGGGCAGTTAAGTATCAACCACATTTCTGTTGTGTGTAGTCATGTGTAGACCAGACCAGGTGAGGACACAGATTCCTTCTCTAAAGAACATTGGTGAATCAAATGAGTTTTTCTGACAATTGACAATGGTTTTGTGGTCATCATTGAACAACTAATTCCAGATATTTATTGAATTCAAATTCCACCATCTGCCAGGGGAGGATTTGAACCTGGATCCCCAGAACATTACAAGGGTCTCTGCATTAATAGTCTAGTAATAGTACCATTGGGCCATCATCTCCCCTTATTATTATTCATTAAATTTCTAACAGGTTAGACCCCTCTAAAGTAATCAAACTACTGCAGTTGAAAATGCTTTACTAAAAAATTTTTAAAATATTACCCGTTATCCTAAGCATGTTTAATAAAAAAACACTTTACCACCACAATTGAATGATGCAGCTATTCAGCCCTTTGTGCCTATGTTTGATCTTTGGTAGAGCTATTCAATTACACTTGCACTTCCCAATCCTTTCTCTTTCACCCTGTTAATGTTTCCCATTCAGGCATTTTTCCAATTTCCTTCTTAAAGTTGTTACTGAATCTGCTTTCACCAGCATCTCAGGAAGTATTTTCTTAGTCAGAACAAATTACTGTATATAATGAAATTGTGATAAGTCAATTCAAAGGGAGCCTGTTGACAGGAGCTTTAAGATGGCCAATAAAGGAAGCCGTTGTGTAACCCAATTTGTGCACAAATGCATTGTATGTTAAAAATGCAAATGACACGGTGACACAGTAAATGTATGAGAAATGTCTTTTATTTCTTGATTTGTTCATTCCTTACGATACCTAGTACAGAAGAAGCCTGGAAAACTTGGTAATCTTTTTCCGTTCAGCATACTGTCTTTGGAGGAGGCTATCATGTTTGGCTGCAGTAACAACATGTTTTCTACGTTTTTGTGTTACAGTATGAAACCCCAAAGCATTTCTGCGGTCTTTTCAGCTTCAACTAGGGAAACAGGCAGGTGAGTAGTGGGCTTTCATTGGCTCTTCAGGGTCATCAGGATGATAACAATCTTTTCTTTCTGTTGATTCATTTTATCCACTTTCCTGGTCCATGCCCCAGAAATGCTCCAGGTCATTTGGGTGGAATGTAGCCCCATACAGTGTGAGTGGTGCCTTAACCTTGCAAAGCAATGGGGCGTCTTGGATTTTCTTATCACAATTTTTCACTGCCATCCTAGTTGACACAGACCATAACAGTGACAAGTTCTTTTCTTCACTTTCCATCATTTCACCTTTATACATTAAAAAAGAAATATGGTGAAAGACAGTTAAACAGTCCAATTTCATCAATTAAAAAAAAAATCTCTTGGAGCATATTCATTCAGGACACAGAAAAGGCAGTTTTGCACTCTAGCATGACCTGACTCCACTCCAATCACTTGGCATTATCATATGACAAGAGTGCACAAGTTTGGTGAATCTGGAATTACCAGTCCAGAACTTTTTTTAATCATGGACTTCCTTCTGCCGGCTGGAACGGCTGACATCTTTGTCAGGACAAAGTTCTGAGTTACCTTCATTTGACTCATCACAATTTGATTGAAGTTATTTTCACCTCTTGTTGTTTCTGGTTTTTCCTTAATTGCTTAAATCTGGGTTCTCTGATTACTTAGTCTTCTAGCACTGCAAACAGTTTCTCTTTTTGACTATATTTAATTTAAAAATGTTGTCAATTAATGTAAAAATGCAAGGAAATAATTAAGTCAAAGACTATAACACAAATGGATTTAAACTGATTCCCTGTACCTGATAGGTTAGGACCATGTGCAGGGAGATAGGATTAGATTAGAATGGCATCAGGGTTAGGGCAGACATGGTGGGCTGAAGAGCCTGCTCCTATGCTGTATGTTTCAATTTTTATGTTTGTTCTATGTTCGACATATTCCAGCTGCTAGAGAAATGTAAGAACATGGTAAAAGCCTTTACCTTACTTTCCTACATTTCACTAAGGCATATGACACCATCAGAACGGCAGGACTCTATAAGAACACCAAATGAGATGAGATTAGTGACCATAGTGGACACAATAGCCTGGTTTTCCATGGTGGGATCATGGTTCATTGGGAGATAGGAAGAGGTATCTGAGAGCTGGCACGCAGCCTCTGCAATGTCGAGTTCAATCCACCATATAACAACAGGACCACCCTTCTCGGCAGGCTTAATTACAAAGCCAGGGTTGGATCTCAGAGCATGGAGTGCAGTCAGTTCAGAGAGAGATAGGTTCAAATGACTGGGGGCAGGTGGGGGTGGGGTGGTGGCATGCAGAGAAATTGAGGCGATAAATGTCACATTGACAGTACTTGATGAACAGTTCGAGTGCGGGTAAACAGCCAGAAGGAGGGGTCCAGGTGGAGGGACAGTGTTAGAGGTGGGTGAATGGGTCTCTGGGACAGGGAGAGGACTCTTGTCCAAAGAAATGGGCATGGAGTTGAAGGCGATACAGAAAGAGTTCAATGTCAGGACTCTATAACATTTAGGAAAAAAAATAATCATTCACCAAAAGTTCTCAGTCTCATCTACTCCTTTTGCTTGCAACAGTTTCAGGGTGAAGAATGGAGTGAAACAAAGCTGTGCCCTAGTCCCAACTCTTTTAGAATCTTTTCCCTGTTCTGAAGCTATACCTTCTCTGCAGATGTGGATAAGGAGCCCAATTAACCACTGGGCAAGACAACAAGCTTTACAATTCATTAAGACTGAAAATGAAGTTGAAGACACATCACATCCTGATCAGAGAACTTTTTCACATCTAGGATGCTGCACTAGTTACCCACACAGCAACTCAGCTACAAAGACTCTTGTACCGTCTCTCCCATGCCTGTAATTTGTTCTGCCTGACCACAGGCATCTTTGCTGTATGTGACGGATTATGGTACATCTGGCAATCATAACTGCAGCAGCCATCTCAAAAGGCAGAGCTCCCAAGTGTTGCACAAACAAGCAGATGCAGCTTTGATGGATTGGGCATGGTGTGAATTTGCAACTGAAAAAGTATTTTACCTGATGCAGCAATGCTAAGTTACTTTCAGTAATATAAGAAGCTGGGTGTGGAAATTCTGGTGTTGAAGAATCTAGGTGACATTTATTACAGTTAGATGTAAACAAAGCATTCATAGGCATATAAGTGTCTGGGCTAACATTAGCTTTCAATTGCAATAGAGGTGCATTCTTCAAGTGATCCCAGAGTCAGATGAATTATGAGTACTTATACCTACAAGGCACATGCCGAGATACAGTGATTATATCATGAGCATGTCTCTTACAGGTATACAGACTGTGAGATGTCACTCAACAGGGCATTCCTGCAGAATGGAAAATGGTCACATGCACAAGGACCTTCTGTATGTTGAAGTTACCAGAGCTAGACCACCCAATGGTGTTGGATAAAAGCAGGAGCGGAGTTGGAACAATGCTGTTAAATAACCTGCCAGTGCTCGGTTAGAAGACTACCAAAAATTGAAAGTAAAACAGTGTATTTTAGAAATGCTGAAACACTGCACAACAAAGTGAAGTAAGTTCATTAATAACTTTTATGAAAAATATGTGAGCTTACAGTTTGAACAAAAGATTTCATGGTAACCTAGGGGATGAAGTGTGTTATGTGATAAATTCCTTTTTCTCGTATGCAGTTTGTGCAGTCAGAGCCAGCGTTGAGTTAGCACTGGAACATTCAGAGAACAGATCATTCCAAGGGATTGCTACATTCATGTCTTACCACTGGTCATGGCCTTTGGTTCAGCCTAGCAATAAGAGTGGGGCAGTTTGCAAGGTTTTCATTAAGTCACATCACAGGGGTCACTGAAGAACAGTTGCAAAGTCACAGTCAGTTGGCAAAGAAGACAGACTGAGTTGGAGGCGGGCTCCACGTGAAGCTATAATGTTTAGGAGATGATTAATAGCACTGGCTCTTTCCCATCAGAACTCAGGAAGAAATTTTGAGTCAGTAGGTGCATAATTAATTTGGGACTTCGTGAGAGATGATGAACAGTTGGTTAACTCCGCAGTCAGAACTTGAGAAGAAATTTTAGGGTTGTGTGACACCTGACTTTCGAGATTCAGTATTGAGGTGGAGAACCGTATTTTCAATGGGTGGGAGATCAGCCATGTTGGCATGATATGGCTGGTGCGTGTCCAGTGCCGCTCTCTGTGGACAGCGAGGTGTTGCAGGTAGTCAATACCCATGGAGCATGCCCTAAGATGGGGAGGCCTGGAGGAGCAAGCAGCAAGCTGGAGCCATCATGTAACTGCTCTGACTTGCATGTCAGGAATAGACACCTACTCATTTCTTTCATGCAACTTTCTAGTTGTGTAAAAACTCCATGTAAGTGAGACGGTAATAGATCATGGTGAAATGTAAACACTAGGAAATGGGCTTTGTGCCACTTACTAGTGAGAGTCTCATCACGCCATTCAAATGATGGAGGGCTTAGTGTCGTGGTGCGGTGACAACAATCTCTCGCTCAGTATCGGCAAAACAAAAGAACTGATCATTGACTTCAGGAAGAAAGGTGGAGGACCCCACCCCCACACCCCCATCTACATCAATGGAGCTGAGGTGGAGAGGGTCGAGAGCATCAACCTCCTAGGAGTGACGATAACCAACAATCTGTCCTGGGCTTCCCACGTAGATGCGATGGTCAAGAAGGTCTCCTCTTGTTCAGGCGGCTTAGGAAATTCGGCATGTCCATAAGGACCCTCACCAATTTCTACAGATGCACAATAGAAAGCAGTCTATCTGGGTGCATAACAGCCTGTTACAGCAAATGCTGTGCCTGAAGACTTAAGAAACTACAGAAAGTTGTGTGCGTAGCCCTGACCAGCACAGAAGCCAACCTCCCATCTGAGGCTCCTGTTAGGAATGTTTACTAATGTGACATTGACTTCTTGCACCTAGAAGTTGCTAGCTGACAAAAGGAGGAAGAGGGTGGTAATAGGACTAGAGCAGTCAGGAAAGAAGAGTAGAGATGGATTGGGGAATATAGAAATCTTGGAGGTGTAATGGGAAAGGAAGGTGGGCAATGCTTCGAAAGCCTGTAATTTCAAATAAATCTGTTGGACTACAACCTGGTGTCATCTAACTTCTAACTTTGTCTTGATGGTCTGGATGGAAAACACTTTAACCCCAGTTGCCTCCGTGCCAAAACTAAATTGACAACCTTTGAAAAACATGATCTAGTTTCTGGATAGCACACTTAAATTTGGCGTACAAAAACCTCAGTCTATCCTTGAATTTTGCTGAAACAAACCTCGTATATTAACACACACCTCCTCAGCCAAATAATGTATTTTGCATCAGAGATAGTAGGAACTGCAGATGCTGGAGAATCCGAGACAACAAGGTGCAGGGCTGGATGAACACAGCAGGCCAAGCAGCATCATAGGAGCAGAAAGGCTGACGTTTCGGGCCTAGACCCTTCTGTCTCTGGATGACCAAAACACATCTCCCTATCTTGGTCCTATTTTTCTAACTGTAGTGGCCAATGTTCTGGGGAAGAACAAAGAAAATGCTTCAAAGACAGTTTGAAGCCCTCTGTGAAGGGCAGCCAAATTGACCCTAATGATCAGACAATGCTGTTACCAATTGTTAAGCATGGTAATAGTTTGTCCATCAACCTGCATTATGCTTTGAGTTACAATGTCTCAATGAAATCATATGTTTTAGAGACATGGGCAATAAACAAAAAGACTACTGATAAAAGCTACAAGCATTCAAGATGGGGACGTGTAGGAGGATATTTCACATATTCAGCGCAATCAAAAAGGCTTATGATGAGGTGCTGGAAATGGCTGGAGGAAAGAGTAAATTAGATCATAATGAAAAGAAACAAGTACAATATTTTGGTCATATCATTAGAGTAGATGATAGAGAACATTACACCTTAAAAATATGCTCCCTTGCTTTGAATTGCCCCATCCCAGGGAAGAGACTTTTGCTACTCACCTTATCTATGACCCTTATGATTTTATAAACCTGTATAAGGTCACCCCTCAACCTCCTACGTTCCAGTGAAAAAAGTCCCAGCATGTGCAGCCTATTTTTATAACTCAAACCTTCCATTTCCAGTAAATCTTTTCTGAACCTGCTCCAATTTAATGATATCCTTTCTATAGCAGGGCAACTAGAACTGTACTCAGTACTCCAGAAATGGCCTCACCAACATCTTGTACAACCTCAACACGATGTCCCCGCTGTTATACTCAATGGTCTGAGCAAAGAAGACAAGCATGCTAAATACCTTCTTAACCACCCTGTCTACCTGTGACAACTTTTTCAAAGAACTATGTACCTGAACCCCTGGGTCTTTGTGTTTGACAATGCTAGCCAGGGCCCCACCATTAACTATATAAGACCTGCCCTTGTCCGCTTTACCAAAATACAATTCCTCACATGTGTCCAAATTAAACTCCAACTGCCCCTCCTGAACCCATTGGCCCAATTGATCAAAGTCCCTTTGTAATCTCAGATAACCTTCCTTGCTATCAACTATATGCTATCAACAATTTTGGTGTCATTCGCAAACATAGTGTTCACTCCTCCTAAATTCTCATCTAAATTGTTTATATAAATGACAAGTAACAGTGGATCCAGCACCGACCCCTTTGGAATACCACTGGTCAGAGTCCTCCAGTCGAAATCAACCTTCCACCTCCACCCGCTGTCTGCCACTATCAAGCCAATTTCATATCCAATTGACAAGCTCTCCCTGAATCCTGTGCTGTGCTCATCAGTCTATCATGCAGAACCTTGTCAAAGGCAACGTCTACTGCCAAGTTAAATGGAACCATTGACTCTTCCCCTCTGTGATGTCTCAGCAGTTCCAATAATCTACTGGAAGGCAGATTTCTGGACAGCTGTGACACCGTACAAGCTCTTTTCTATGCTGCTACTCACTTGTTTCTATAAACGGGAGACAATTTTAAACCTGCCTGATCACTGGAAACAGAACAACTGGGCAATTAATATTTAATATGAGTCTGATCCACTGAGTTCACACCCTCATCTTCAGATTTCTTTATCCTAGCCTCTTTATTCTCTCTCACTTCTATCCCACTTTACACACTCTAAACTGTGGCTGGAACAGCCATTCATCTGACTGCTTATCTTTCACACTAAAATATGACCCTTGCTCCTCTACTTCATTTCAGGTGTTGAAAATGTCAAGACCCCAGTGTCAATTTAAATAGAGTTTCAGAATATTTGGAGGACCAAACAGACTAAAATTAAAATACTTGACATATTTTCACAGATGCTTACACTGCATCCATCAAAGATGGAAAGTTTGAATTCCTTCCCTTACAACTCAATTTGTTTTTTCTTTCTGTTTCCTATTATTTTGGCATTAATACATGTCCTCTTTCCACTTTGATTTCTGGCTTACATGTTGATGGATTGATGTGCACTATTTTAATTTCAGTTCTCTAGCTTGCTGTTTGTTTGAAATAGATTATAATCGTTGATGGGTTTGTCCAAAGCAATCATAACCTGATTGAACTAGACCTATTAAAAGTATTTCAATTGCTGTTATTTGCAGAAATTAAAAATGCTAAGTTTCATTTATAGTTTGTTGGGCTTTTCAGGGTATTTTTACCCCACCTAGCTAATTCATATGAACTGGGAGCATCAAGTGTTCATAACTACTGAAATTAATGCATTAGGAAGATGTATCCCATATGGGTAAAAAGAATAATCAACATTTCTGCAGCAAACATTAATTTCTTTTTATTTTGAATTTGTGCTCTAGGATTGCCATTCTGTAAATTTTTACTAGATGTGCTCACTTATTCAAAATAACTGTTGTATTTTGTTTGTGATTTTGGATTACTGGTCTCAAGAACCATAAAGGTTCACCAACATAGCATCTACCCAATTTTATTCTTGGGGAATTGGCTCTTCTGGGTGATAATTCAGACAGAAGAAATGGAACAAATTGATTAGTCTATCTGAGCCTGTTCCTGAGGATTTGTTGTATTGTTCCTTTGAGATTCAGTTTGTGTATACAATGACATTGATGAGGCACCTATTCTGCATCAATTCAATTAGTTTCAACAGTATTTAAGCCTAATATGAAAGACATTGAAGTATATTTGTCACAATTAATAGTTGACTGCCAGGATGCAATTGCTTATTTAATAATTTTTTTTTTTTAGAAAACAACACTACAGCCAAGTTATTTATTCATGGCTCAGAATAACTGAAAGTTGCCAAATATCTTGGGTGTGAACATGTTACTGGACAAACTCTCTGGCACTGACTTCTGAAGAAACTCCTGAGAATCTAGTTGGCTTTGTGGTGGGTCTTGGATGAACACATTTTTGTTTGAAAAGATCATCTTGAAACAGTGTATTTTGATTTCTGCAGGATGCCAATATGCAAAAATGCCAACAAAAAAATAAAAAAATTCACTAGCAGTGCTTATCCATGTTCTTGATACAATAAGCATATTCTATACAGTATATACAGTACAACTTTTTTTCCCCATTCTGGTGTACTTTAAATAAGTTTCATGAAGGAGTTGTAGAGAGTTTTATTGTTGTGGTAAATTTAATGTGGGTCCATAAGCATGTTGTCATTTTCTGGTGTCCAAATATTTCCTCAGCCTTGAGGGACTAAGCAAACAAAAATGTTCTGGTTCTTCTATGTGTTGAAAGCCATAAAGTAAGCAGAACCACATAAATTAATAATTAACAACTATTGAAATGTGATAAAATGATCTAATAGACTATGTCATCTTGGTTTGACCTGGCAGGGATCCATGATGTGATAGTTACTGACTTTTCGACTCAATCAAAGGCCAATAGAAACGTTAGTGATTAAACATAACTCAGACTATTCGATACATTCAGTCCATATTGGCATTCACCCTGTTTTAAATCAAATAGCTCTAATCACACTTAGACTGTTCTCATATTCGTTCAATCCCTTTTCCTTCATCTATCTATTCCAGATTATGTTAACATAATGCCCACCTTAGTTATGAACTGTGGAACTAAAATCCACAGTCACATTTTTTCTGTGTAAGTTTCTCCAATCCTGTATCCTAGATCTCTTGGTGCTAATGCTTTGTCAATGGTCTCTGAAAACAAATTGTGTGGTACAAACAGAAAGAGTTGCTTGCAGATTCACCACTTTTGTATTTCTGCTCTTGCTTCTCTTGAACTAGCTATATTTCCTGACAAATAAAAGTGGTTAGCTTTGGGCTGACCATTCTTTCTTTTAGAGCTTTGAAGAGTCAGCTTCCATCTGTAGGGGTACACATTTGAATAACATCAACCCTAATCAGCTTTAACAGATCTCCACTGGAGAAAATTGTAAAAAGCCTACAGTATGGCAAATTTTGTCTAATTTTATATACCCGTCCTGTCCTTCTATAATTTTAAACACTTTCATCATGACACTCTGTAGTATGCATTTTTCTAGCAATAACTAAATACATGCTTTAAAAAAATATTCCTTAGTATTTTTCTTCCTCATTACCAGGCAGCAGCTGAGTGAATATGCATAGTTCTCTCTTTAAAGCTTCATCATACTTCCTAGTACTGCACATAATATTCTAATTGAGCTCTTATTAAAGTTTTACATGGACTCATAATTAGCTTTTGGCTTTTACATTCCATACCTCACAAGATTAAACTAGAATCCTATTAGTTATTTTTTTCTACACATTTGTTAACTTGAGAGGCTGTCTTTACATAAACTACATAAAACCACATGACTATGATTTGACCCAACTGTTCAATGCTGGTGTTCTATTTCCATGTCTGGATGATGAGTGGCTTGCAGGTAATAGTGTTCCTGTGTAAATGCTGCCCCTGTCCTTCTAGATGGTGAGATGGAGGTGCTATCTAAGGACTCTTTGTGAATTTCTAAAGTATACCTTTTAGATGGTACACACTGCTGCTCTTGAGTATCAGTGGTGGATGGAGAAGATGTTGATGGATGTGATACCAATCAAGCAGGTTGTTTTGACAAGGTTGGTGTCAAGCTACTTGAGTGTTGTTGGAGGTGCACCCATCTAGGCAAGTGCGGACTATTCCATCGTACTCCTGACTAGTGCCCTGTAGATGGTGGACAGGCTTTGGGGAGTCAGGAAGTGAGTTACTAACCCCAGAATTCTAAGTTTATGACCTACTGTTGTAGCTACAACATTTATGTGGCTGGTCCAGTCAGTTTCTGGTCAATAGTAACCTCCATGGTGTTGAGAGTTAGGGACTCAATGACGGTAATGCCATTGAATGCCAAGGGAATATAGTTTTATTCTGTCTTGTTGGAGATGGCCATTGCCTGGCACTTGGGTGAGCCCAAATGTGGATATCATCCAGATATTACTCCAATTAGGCTTGGATCATGAATGCTTCCCACAGGCCCAATGCAGTAGATGCTCCCAGTCTACTTGGGCCAAATCGAATTTTGCCTTAGGAAAATTAGTTTGTCTCCAGTTTAGAACTCATATTTCTGGTCTATCTTATACTTTTCCATAACTGTCCTAAAATCTAACTGAGTTATTGTTGCTATCTCCAAAATGCTTTCCTACCGATATGCCTTCCACCTACTGGCTCATTTCTGAATATTAGGCTAGAACTGCCTCCTCCCTTGATGGACATTCTAGTCACCAACTAAACAAACTTTTCTGGATGTAATTCAAGAATTTTGTTCCCTTTCTACCTTGCACGCTAAAACTCTCCGAGGTAAACTCTCCTAATGTTACTGCCTTATTATTCTGAGACTTTGCTGACATTTGATTACAGATTTGATTATCTCTTGCTGACTACTTGGGGGCCAATAGTACACACCCAACAGGGTGTTTGCACCTTTTGTGTTTTTCACTTCTACTCATATGGCCTCATTTGACAAAGGAAAAGCACTGTGGATGCTGGAATCTGAAACAAACGCAGATGATGCCAGGGAAGCTCAACAGATTGAGCCGCATCTGTTGAGAGAAGAACACAGTGAATGTTTTGAGGCCAGCATAACTCTTCTTCAGAACTTCATATCACAAATTCAACTAGCCACTACTCTAATGGTGCCTGTATAAGGGAGGACATTGGGATCACTGCTCGTGGCAGCTGGGAGAGTTACTGTCCGGCAGGTGAACATACGTGCATTGGAGTTTGGCGCACTAAGTTCAAATGGATGTTTTTGAAGAAACTGGATTAAAAATGGTAAATTTTCTTTGAAATTTTTGCCAGTTGCATGAGAATTCCAGATGGTTAGGTACCAGATAGAGTCTTAAGAGTTATAGAGTCATATAGCATGGAAACAGGCCCTTTGGTCCAAATTGTCCACGTGGACCATGTTCCCAAACTAAACTAGTCCTACTTGTTTCAGAGATAGTAGGATTAGTATTTTTCTGAAGAAGTTCCTAGGCCCGAAACGTCAGCCTTCCTGCTCCTCTGATGCTGCTTGGCCTGCTGTGTTCATCCAGCTCTACACCTTGTTATCTCTAGTCCCACTTGCCTGTGTTTGGCCCATATCCCTCCAAACCTTTCTTATTCATGTACTTATCCAAATGTCTTTTAAATGTTGTAATTGTACCTGCATCCACCACTTCCCCTGGCAGTTCATTCCACACATGAAATACCCTCTCTGCAGAAAAATTGCCCTTGTGACCCTTTAAAACTTTCTCTCTCACCTTAAAAATATGCCCCCTAGTTTTGAACTCACCCACCCTGGAGAAAAGACCTTTGCTATTCACCTTATCTATGCCCCTCATAATTTAAACCTCTATAAGGTCATCCCTCACCTCCTACGCTCCAGTGAAAAAGGACCAAACCTATCCAGCCTATTTTTATAACTCAAACCCTCCATTCTTGACAACATCCTGGTAAGTCTTTTCTGAACCTTCTCCAATTCAATAATATCCTTATAACAGGACAACCAGAACTACACACAGTACTCCAGAAGAGGCCTGACCAATGTCCTATACAATCTTAACATGACGTTCTCAAAAAACTCAAATCAAGTTTGTGAGTCACAATTTCTCTTGCACAAAACCATGCTAATTATTCCTAATCAGTCCTTGCTTTCTTAAATGCGTATAAACGCTATCTTTCATAACAGGGAGTTTACTGTAATTCAATGCAATGCCGCATCAGGTTTCAAAGTACCTCTGAGAACTTTAGTTGTAATTACCCAGACTCAGTCTTTGCAAGAAGTTAATACCATCAGGCTATCAGTCTGAGATAGTAGGAACTGCAGATGCTGGAGAATCCGAGACAACAAGGTGCAGGGCTGGATGAACACAGCAGGCCAAGCAGCATCATAGGAGCAGGAAAGCTGATGTTTCGGGTCTGGACCCTTCTTCAGAAATGGGGGAGAGCAAGGGGGTTCTGAAATAAATAGGGAGAGAGGGGGAGGTGGATAGAAGATGGATAGAGGAGAAGATAGGTGGAGAGGAAACAGACAGGTCGAGGAGGCGGGGATGGAGCCAGTAAAGGTGAGTGCAGGTGGG